TGAGAAACCTCCTTTTAAAAAAATTAGGCCAAGCATTAAAGAGATTTGTAAAAATGTGAAATAAGGACACTCTTCTCACTAAATTTCTTGTTTTAAGAAAGCTTTTTAAAGTCTTACTTTTAATTTCTAATATGGTAAATATTAATAGATATAACTCACATAAACAAAAGCTTTTGGGGATCCTCAATTTTAAGAGTATGAAGGTATCCTGGGACAAAAGTCTGAGAAATGCCCCTGAACAGAGCACTGTGTGAACTAAACACGCAGTGGAATACTCCTGGACATTTGGATGAGACAGATCTGTGCACCCCGACACCACAGCAGAGGAAGGGAAATGGCCCTCAGAACATCGCCAAGACAACTGCAGGCAAAAGCAGTCACAGACTAACAGCAAGAAAAAGTGACAATAAGATCAATAGTAAAATTATGAGTATAAATAATTAGGTCATTAAAAACATTCCCTCTCTGCTTCATGACATTTTGGTTCCTCCTATAAAATGAAATGTGAGAGCTTTTCTTTCTTTTTTTTAAAATCCTGTTGCCAACCCCCAACACACCCTTCAAAACAAACACCTCCCAGGAAGGGGGTGAAGGCAGTTGGCAGTAGTGCTGACTAAACTACCATTCCCAAAGAGTTTAAATCAGCCTGGATGCAGCTAGCAAACAGCTTGTTTGATTCCTCCTCTAACAAACATACTTATACACTCATGTAAGTATTTTTAAATCTGGTTAACAGAAAAATTAGTGTTGATAATGATGATCCAGAAGCACATTACAAACGAAAGTTTATCTATCCAACACATGATCATTACATTGCTTAAGAAAAACTTTCTAGCATATATTTAAGAGACATTATATGAAAACTGCTGAGAGCTTTAATCTCTGGCATACAGTCTTATTTAGCTGGAAAATTCACTTATTTGGAAGATATCATTTCCTTTCACTGAAGAAATGACCTGAATTTCTATAACTTCTGTGGTTTTATTTTCAATATTAACCAACAACCAATCAATCAGTCAAGTAGTATGGAGTATCTGGTGTGGGGTTAAGAAACTTAGGTCCTGGCCTCAGTTTAGATTTGCATAAACACAAGGATTTCAGAATGAATAGCTCCAGCTCTGTTCCTCCAGAGGAAGCAGTTCAACCTCTAGGTTTCTCCAATATACTGTTCTTATCAATGCTCAAAGCTAAAGGCAGGGGCTTAAGGTACCAGGAAGAAAACGCCATCAAAAATGAGTTAAAGAAGTCCAAAAATCTCATCTGGATAAAAGACTAGTGTATGCTTTATACGTAGAGCAGGTCTGTGTTCTAGGTACCCCTCTCCTGATTTTTGTGGTCCCGCTAATGGGACACACATGGCATTTAAAAACTGAAATGAAGGTTTAGGGGAAAAAACAAAGTGGCAGCATCACATTAAAAAGTTTCACACCTGGGTCAAGTCTTCACTGCACTCCGTTATCACACGGAACAGATGACAAGGGTTTGGTTACCCTAAGCCTATATTCGTTTTCTACAAAGTAGGTCTACACAAGAAAAAATATTGAAATCAACATTTCAAATGAAGTATTTCTCCCAGTACTGACACTAAGCTCTTCTTGGTAGCTAAATCTAGAATGCTTCCTGTATGCAAGATTCTATACTTACTGATTTGTAAGAATAGCAGTAAAAAATGCTGATGCTCTCTCTGTTCATTTCTCTCACCACAACAGCCAAAACAAAACAAAAAAGACTTTCCCACCCAAAGTGTTCTGACCTTCTTTTCTAATTACAGCAGAGACAGAGGCAACCAAGTTCTACCAAGAGGCAGAAACACGGGATTACAGTTTTTATCATCAGCTAGTAGTGCTACCATGACCAAAACATTTCCCCGTGTCTCATTTTCATCATGCCCCAATGAGAACTGGATCTTTCTAACTCTGAAACAGTCAAGTCAGATAATAGTTAAAACTATTTTGGAATGTAAAAAATACTTTATAAAACTCAAGGCAAAAACCAAATACAAGAACATTATCATTGGTGCTTGGCATGTAATCCAGAGTGAAGAGTATGGATATGACTTCACGTTCAAAGACATCCTTCAGTGTGTAGAGAAATTCCAGTTTCTTTATCAATTCTCAAGCTGGCAGGCAGAGCTGGTAAAGACCATAATGGAGGAAAGTAGAACAGTTTGACCATAAAGTGAGAGGACAAGGGATGACACTATCCTTACTTCAGCAAGTTAATAGGTAGAGCATAAGCTGAGAGAAGAAAAATACTTAGTCATCTTTACTGAAGATAGAACTTTGCAGGTACACAGCTATGATAATACCTGAGGAGGTAAACCCATTAAAGAAAAAAATGCATGCCCTATAACATATCTTGCCAACATGAACCTATTAAATAAGAATGCCAATTCAGAAAAATGGGCTCAGGGGCTTTGTGGGACATCCTATCATCTCCAAGGCAAAACGCACTACAGATCTGCCAACCCAGCCCACTTCAGGGGAAACAGCATGCTCACTGAGTCAGATGGCCCCTGTAACGAGGAGGCCCCAGTTACTTCCATTCAGAAGTTGCATTTCTCATTTTCAGACCAGTATATAAGCTCGTCTAACAAGATAAATGACCCATTTTATAGAAAATCAGAAACATTTTCCATTTTGCTCATCACAATAAAAAGAAAATGCTCAATTATACTACAAGGGAGAATGAGGAGAGCACACAATGATGAATAACCCAAAACTGCAATCAATACAAAACCTCCCATGTGTGGCCTGGAGATAAACTATAATTTTAAATCTTTAGTCAAAAAGTTGTTTTTATTTTCTTTGCATTGAGTCTAAGCATAAAGCAGCAAATGCAAGCAGGCAATATGGGATTTAAGACACCCTGTTAACAGTCAATCAAATAACTGATAATACCAGTTAAGCCATAGACTAGATATCTCACTCAAATCCAGTTTGAACACTGACTTTGCTCCCTAACCCAGCTGTTATTTAGCCTCTCTAAGCCTGTTTCCCCATCTACAGAATAAAGTTAATAATACATTCTATACCAGAGGAGACAAGTAGTCTGGCACACAGTAGGTACCCAAAATTCTTTGATATTCCATTTGCAGTTTTCTTGTTAGAAAAAAATTACTCGTCAAAGGAAAGAATATTTAGAACAATATTTCACAAGTATTTGAGAATTTTCTAAGTCTACTCTTTGGACTTAAGTTTTCCTTACAATGTAAATTTAACAAGGGCACATGTTAACTTACTTCATTTCTCTTTCCCTATTAGATAAAAATTAAATCTGTTTTCTTCCGCCATTTAACCTGCTTCATTGCAGGGTCCCAAACCTTCCAAAGAAAGGGAGGGGAGGCTGGGGGTTATCTCTAAAGTGGTGCAAATAAAAACAAGGAAAAAAAAGATTCCTGTATTATGTTAGAAGAGTATGATTCCCTACAACAGTGTCACATTGGGACTTAATGCTTAAAAATACTTTAAACAAAAGATTCTGTATAATGAGTCCAATTACACACATGAAAAGGTTTTATCTTAAATTATGAGATGAGACTTGCTGTCAAACCTACATACACTTTCATCTCAGAAGTTAACTGAACCGAGACAAAGCCCATGCTTTCCACATTACTACCTAACACGTTTTGCAAGCATCCCAAGATAGGGAGGTTGGAGTGGTTGGTTACTCTGTAATAGATACAAAAGCACACTAACACCTGACACTCAAACATCTATTTTAATAGGCCTCAGAAAAATATGCCTGATGCATTCAGGACCCTTTAAATGTTCCCAAAAGGAAAGATTTTTTTTCTCCAGTTTTAGGTTATTTTGGGTAGCCAAATTAAGATCACCTGTTGGCAATATACCCCAAATTAGTTTTTCAATTCAAATTGAAAATCAATGTTCCCAGAGTCTTCAAGACAGTCCAATTAAAATTCTTCGAAACAAGTTTGTAATAATTCAGACACAGAGTAACTACAATCATAATAAACTTAAACAGCTACTACAAAATTACACATGAATTAAGGCAAATTTTCAAATCCAGGAAAAACGATTTGAAAAGTTTTATCTGACATGAACATTTTCTTAAAGTAAAATTCACCGCACGCCCAGAGGAAAGTGGAAATCATAAAAGTGGGTAAGTCTCTAAAAATGTGAAACATTAATTTTAAACAAACTGGTCTTTGAACCTTGAGGGCTGTTTCCAAACACATGAAGCACAGGCACCAGGGCAGATTGGGATGGTTTTAAAGATTACCTGCCAACTTTTCCCCACTTCCCCACCTGTTAACTGAACCAAACAGTGAATGTACTTTTAAGCAATCAAAAAAGCTGACATAAAGTGATTCCAAACTTGCAAGATGTCTACGCAGTGAAACACACAAAATTCTGCGTTACTATTGCAAAAAAAGAAACAACAAACAAACAAAAAAAAACAACCGAACACTGGGGAGCACAAATCTAATCTTCTCACGGAAAAGAGGCATGCTTTTATTTTCTGCTGCCCGCTGAGTTGCCAGAACCTTGAACCGGTGTTGCCAACCTGCAACAGGGTCAGAAAGATGAAGAAGTGTTTTTGTTTTTTAATGCACAGCGAAATGTTTTCCAAAGAGTGAAACAGCTGAGAACTTTCTTACCTCCGAAAAAAGTTTCACGCCTGCTTTACAGATGGGTGCACTAAGGAGTGCCTTTTTCAAGGTCACCGTAGCGCGAAAGAACAGCACAGTCCGGACGACGATCCCAAGTCCCCAGCCTCTCCCCACGCCAGGGCGGCACAGCCCAAACGTGCCCGGCTCCGCTCGTACCCCCAAGTACCACGAGACACTCGGTAAGAGACGTCCTGGGCGCTCTCCGTGCAGCTCCGACGGGAGTGTGGTGCCGGTGGCCCGCCCTCCCCCGAGGCGGCAGTCGCCCCCGCTCCGTCCTCGTAGTAAGAGAGCCACTGGCTCAGAAGAACCAGGGAGGTGGCCCAGGGTCGTGGAAGGCGCGCGTCCCACCGCATAGGGGTTCACTTACCGTCGCTCTCAGCCCTGACAAGCAGGGACATGCCCTTCAGCCGCTCCACGTAGCCTGACGACACATGCCCGGTGCCCCGGTCGTCCCACTGCCGGTCCTCGTTGAGCGTGTAAACCTTCACCCGCCGCCGGGTGTCGGTCATCGTGCCGCCCAGGGGCCGGGGCAGAGGCCCCGCCGGAGTCGCCCGGGAAGGGGGTCCGGGGTAAGCGGGAGCCGAGACGGGAGGACGCCCGCAAGCAGAGGGCTCCCCGGCTTCACTGCCACCGCTGGCCGCCGCGGGGCCGTGCTGCCGCCCGCATGGCCCGTTCCCGGACCCGAACTCTGGGCCCCCGCTTTTTCTTGCCTCCGATACCTCGGCGCTATTGTCCAGGCCCGGCGAACCCGGCGGCCCCGAGGGGGCGCGTAGCGCTTCGCAGCCTCCCGCCCCGCCGCTATAGAAAGTCGGGGCGCCGGTCACTGCCCTGCTCCCGACTCCACCATGATGTCCGCGAAGCCGCTTCCCGCGCCACCGCCGCCTCCTCAGGCCGTCGCCGCCATGTTTTCCTTCCTTCTACCTGGCTCTGCCACCGCAGCCGGTGGCTCTGCTCCTCTCGCCTGCTTCAAGTGTCCGATGCCGACAAGCGCCTGATCCCGTTGCAGGCGCCTCCGCTGCGCAGGCGACTCCTAGAGCCCCCAGGCGCCGAGCGCTCCAGGCCTATTGGAAGTCTCGTTCCTCCGCCGCTGCCACCGCCTCTTCCGTCTTCCTCACGGAGCCAAAGCCGCCGCCATCTTGGTTCGCCCCTCAATAGCGGCGCGCGGGGCCACCCAGGCAGCCGCTGCAGGGGCGGCCCGCTGACCCCACCATTTAAAGAGACAGGGGCAAGGCCGGGAGCCTCGCTGCGTCGAAGGCCTAGGACGGAGGCAGGAGGCGGGCGCGGAGTTGGCGAGGTGGCGGGAGCACAGGGTGCGGAGGAGGGGAAACGCTGGTCGCGCCGGTGACGGCCGGGGCTCCCTAGCGCTCCTGGCACGCACCGTCGTGCGAGTACGGCGGCGCGTGCGTGCGTCGCGCCCTGTGTTCGTCATCAGCCTCGCCCGGGGATTAAGCCAGAGTGTGGGGGGCGGAGCGAGTGATTCTGCGGTCTCTGCTAATGGCGCGCTTGGTGTCTGACATTCTTTAGTCGGCCTGCTGCAGTCTTGTGTTTCGCTGTCCACCCGCCCAGCGACTTTGGCCTGTGGTTGTTAGGCACGTCCATCTCTACGATTGTCTTTTCCGGGCCGCTTTTGGCCCTGGGCTCGGAACCTGAGCACCGAGGTGTCGGCGGCTGCCCTTTAGGAGGAAAACCTTCCGGCGAAGGCCACAGCTTTTGGCAGAGCGGACATCCACTTGCCTTGGGAGCTGCAGTGCTGTGGCGAGCCTAGAAACTTGGGACAGCTTGCATTTTCTGAGCCTGAGGACAAGCCCAGAAAGTGACAAGTCTGAAACCTCACCTTACAATTCAGCTGCTACATCCATTTCTTTATCCTTTATTGGGATAAAGGATAGAATAAAACGATTATTCTAGTCCTCCGTGCTGCAAAAAAGAACTTGAGGAATTTACAAAAACAACACACGATACTGTGTAATCAGGATGAGTAATTCTCAAGTTTACTTGTTTGTTTTTAAAGATTTACTTTTTAGAGACAGAGGAAGAGGGAGAGAATCACTGATGTGTGAGAGAAACATCCATTGCGTGGTTGCCTCTCCTACGCCCCCCACCGGGATCTGGCTCGGAAGGGAAGGAAGCATCAACCTCTGGGTCCCCCAGGCTGGCCTGAACCCACTGAGCCCCACCAGCCAGGGCTCAACGTTACATGTTAACGGTCTTCGGAAGAACTTAATTCCTTATGCCTCCGTTTCCATTTGCCAGGCCTTCTAGGTCATTGCTGTCCACTAGAAAGAGAATGAGAGCCATTCGTAATTTTAAATTTTATAGTAATCACTTCTTTTAAAAAGTACGAAGAAACCGCTGAATTATTTAATGTATTTAATCAAATGCAATCTCTTCTAACAGTAAATAAAATCTTAATGAGATATTTTTCTCCCTTCGTTCCACCTTTTCTCTCTAAAAATTTTTGTGAGAGTTTATTTGAGCTAAAGACATATGCCAGGGAGCAAGATCTCAAATACTTCTCTAAATTCCTTTTTTTGTTTTGTTTTTGTTTGGGGGTTTCTTTTTTTTTTTTTGGTACTAAGCTTAAAATGCAACGTGTTTTTTACCCTTAGTGCAAGTTTCTATTTGGATGCAAAATTTTCATTGGTACTACCTGACCTGTATTTAGACTTTATTAAATTTGCCATTGAAAAAGATTCACATACTGTTATATCAAACATACTGGGTTTCTAAAAATGAATCAACCGTCAATTCAATGTAAAATTTAACAGAAATTGAGTTTAATTCAGTTCCCGTAGCCACATTTCAAGTGCTCAGCAACCACATGTGCCTCTGTCTACCCTTATGGCCGGTTCAGGTGTTTTAACACTGCCAGGAATTTCGTATCAAACTTGCAAGGTAGTTTGTTATAAACATCTACTCAAGCAAGAGGCCCTGATGGCATTAGCAGGGCTGAGCGGTTTCCCAGGACGAAGGAGTGTCAGTTTTAAAATCAGAACTTGGGCTTCTCCTCTCCCACCACGTGAAACGCAAAGAAGTGCTTGAAAGGGCAGCGTGAGAGTTCCATTATTTACAAACAAAACTGAAAATTATTTTTAAAAAAGCAAGCAATTGTTTTTTGTAAAAAGTAAAGTGTAAGCATCAGGGCATAGCAATAATTTTGTCCACTTTGGCACAGTAAGATATCATTTTTTTTAAAGATTTTATTTATTTTTAGGGTGAAGGGAAGGGAGGGAGAAAGAGAAACATCAGTCAGTTGCCCCTCGTGCATCCCTGCTGGGAACTGGCCTGCAACCCAGGCATGTGCCCTGACTGGGAATCGAACCTTGGTATTTTGGTTCCTAGGCCCGCACTCAATCCACTGAGCTACACCAGCCAGGGTCCAGTTTTTTGGTTTTTGCAGGCAGGTACTCAATCCACTGAGCCACACCAGCAAGGATGACATCATTAAATTTGCTCGTGTTATTGTTTACTCGATTACCAAACCAAACATGAACTAATTTGTGTGTGTGTGTGTGGGGGGGGAATCATACATTTTTAAATAATATACATTTAGTGTAAATTAAATAGCAGGGATTTTTTATTAAATAAAAAGATTAAAAGTTTTATATATATATATATATTACAAGAAATATTAACAATTATGTTTGCTGTATAATATCTTAAATAGCAGTTGAGTTGTATCAGTCCAGTTCCTCCCAGAGAAACAACCAGCAGGATATTTCTACAGTGAAAGAGATTTGGAGGAATTGCTTATATGATCGAGTGGTAGGCTAGGCAAGTCTGAAATACATAGGGCAGGCCAGCAGGGCACTGGAAGTCCTTGAGCAGGAGCTGACCCTGCAGTCCACAGATAGCATTTTTACTTCTACAGGGAAACCTTAGTTTTGGTAGCAAGGCCTTTGGACTGAATGGATGAGGCCCGCCCAGATTACTGAGAATAATCTACTTAATATCACATCTACAAAATGCCCTCCCAGCAATACCTAGATTACTGTTTGATTGACACAAGATTATCACAATAGTAAATAAGTACTTCATGTAGTCACTTAATCATATGGCATGCACAAATGGTAAGACCATTTAAGGAAATTCCTAATGGAGTTCCACAAGGGGGGGTGCAAGTCACAAAATATTAAGATACACATCAGTGGGTGTTGTATTTTGAGTCCAGGTCCTGCCTCTTAGAAGCTACCTGACATTCAAAATTTCTTAACCTCTCTGTGCCTCAGTTTCCTCACCTATAAGGTAGGAATAATAATATCTTCTAAGATTGGAAGGATTTAAAAAGTTACAATGCTTTATTTTTTAATTTATTTATTTTAATTGTTGTTCAAGTTTTCTTTTACTCCCATCCCAGCCCATCCCCCCCAGTGCTCCTCACCTCCCTCCCATTTCCACCCCCCCTTAATTTTTGTCCATGTGTTCTTTATACTTGTTCCTGTAAACCCTTCCCCTTTTCCCCTGAAATTCCCTCCCCTCTCCCCTCTCCCCTCTGGTCCCTGTCAGCCTGTTCTCTATTTCAGTGTCTTTGGTTATATTTTGCTTGCTTGTTTGATTTGTTGTTCAGGTTCTTGTTAAAGGTGAGGTCATGTGGTATTTGTCTTTCACCGCCTGGCTTATTTCACTCAGCATAATGCTTTCCAGTTCCATCCATGCTGTTGCAAAGGGTAGGAGCTCCTTCTTTCTGCTGCATAGAATTCCATTGTGTAAATGTACCACAATTGTTAGATCCATTCATTTACTGATGGGCACCTAGGTTGCTTCCAGCACTTGTCTATGATACAATGCTTTAAACACAAAGCTTTTTCCTGGGACTCATGTACCTTCACCTCCATGCATAACATAGACTTGGAAAGTATGCAGTAGGGTCCATTCATCATGTAATATTCACACCTACTCTATGTTACTTACCTTTAGGCATTTGCGTTTATCCTTTTGTAGTGTCTCCTGCTTTAGACTAAAAACCCCGGAAAGAACAAGGACTAGGCTGCCGGGTTGTGCACTGCCCCGCCCCAGAATGCACCAGCCTCTCAGATGACCTCCATGTTGGACAGAGAAGATAATGGGATCTGTAGGGTGGGAAGGCATGGCACCAAAAGATCTGAGCCCCACTGTGGCTCAGCCACTAAACTGGTGGTCTAATGCGAGACACTTCACCTCTCTGGGCCTTGGTTTTCTAATCCTGATAAGATGGCCATTAAGGACACTCCCAGCTTTCACATTCCATAGGTGTGCAGCAGTGGTGGTAAGAATACTAGAAATCACGCTGTCTCCATAAAGACATGTGCCAACATGACCACACATTAGCATTTTTAAAAGATTTTATTTATTTATTTTTAGAGAGTGGGGAAGGGAGGGAGAAAGAGAGAGAAACATCAATGTGTGGTTGCCTCTCACATGCCCCATGCTAGGGACCTGGCCCACAACCCAGGCATGTGCCCTGACTGGGAATCAAACTAGCGACCCTTTGGTTTGCAGCCCGCACTTAATCCACTGAGCTACACCAGCC